GAGGAAGGTTAAAAAAAAGGAGGGGTGCTAGGCATGCACATAGCCCTGGCTGCTGTAGCCATTCAGCACCCATCTACTGCCCCCCAGGTTCTGAGACACAGGGTCGAACGTGCTAGGTGTGTTGGTGTGTACGGCACTGGGCAAAGAAGTGCCCTAACAGAAATGAGCTTCCAGAAGGGCCATGCTATTATTAGGAACAAACTGGCCACGGCGGCACTCCTGAGCAAAGAAGTGCCCTAACAGAAATGAGCTTCCAGAAGGGCCATGCTATTATTAGGAACAAACTGGCCACGGAGGCACTCCGTCCTAAGAGGAAGGCCCAAGAGCAGGGCGGTCCGCTGGCAAGCCTGCAAGTGCATCCAAAGCCTGACGCGGCCCAGGAGGCTGGCCCGCAGCAAAGGATTGCCGGTCCTGGTCCGGAACCCCGGGTGTGCCTGGCTGTGGCAGGTAGGCCAGTCTTTGGTTGGTTTTTGGGTGCTACTGTTTACTCTCTCTTAACGTTTTTCCTTGGATTCCAAGGAGCTGCTTGGCACTTAAAATTAATTTATTATCACCACTGGGCTTGGAGACCGGGTTTTCATAAAGAATTCAGAAAAAGAGCCGCTGTAGCCTTCCTGCACAGGCCCTTGGCAAGTAATTCTAACCACCATTAATGTCACAGGTGCGGCCAAGCAGTGTGGGTCCGCTGCACACAAGGCAAACCAGCCAGCACATCCACTTGGGTTGCTGGTCTTGACCATGAACCCTCCCACCCCAAACTCAGCGAACCTGTCCCTCCACGTCTCCTGCTATGGCTCTCCTGCTGTGGGTCCTCACAATAGCTGCCACCACCTACTTTAGATCTTCAGATCGCTTTCCCCTCTTGTTCTGTACCTCAGAAAATAAAAGCACTGCAGTCTCCTGGGCCCCTGGTCAGGGGCACTCGGTCCCTAACATTTCCTGTGTAAAGATAGCACAGACTGCTGGTTGCACTTGCAAGCCCAGCCCCCTTACTATATAGGAATAGGAGTGCAGCAACCCAACCGAACAAGCTCTGCCCAGAGCTGTAATGGTTCAATTTCCAAACTTACCTTAGGAAACGTTCATTGGAAATGACACCTGCTTTGTAAAAATTGTAGCAGGAAAACCCTTGCCTAGCATACCATCCACTTGCCTTTCCAATGCAATGAAGTAACAATTTGTTTGATATTGCACCCCCACTCTCCCCCCACCTCCCAAGCAAAACAAAACAAACCCGGGTGAGAGAGTAAGGCTGATTGTGCCAACCTGGCGGATAAACACAGGTGGGGTTAATTGAAGGGTGGAGGGATAAATGGCTCAGTTAGCCTCACCTTTCTAGTTCTGGGATCTCTTGAATTCTGATGGTCAGACCAGGGTGCAGCTGCCTTAGCCAGTTCCCTGCTTCAGCTGGCAAGGCTCACTTCCTGCAAGACATCCTTGA